CAGCTTTGACTCTTCATCCTACGCGTCGTCAAGCCGTTCCCACGAACTCTCATCTGACGAGGACAGTGATTCGGGGTACTCCTCCTTCTTGTCGGACGACCATGCTCTCAGCAGCGACTCTGCCTTGTGCGATGCCTCTCGATCGTGTCCCGTGCTCTATCGATGCGCGAAGACCGACCTTGCCGCCGCAGAGGATGACATGGGCGACGGAGACTCGGGCTCGGATGCAGATACCGCCAGCGAAGATGGCGTTGACTCGGACGAAGATGCCGGGGTTACCTCTGAAGATCACGTTGACTTGTCGGTGCACTCGTTGCACGCTGTCCTGTCCTGTTTGCCTTCCCTGGTGACCCTTTCGTTGGACAACCTGTCCTTCTTCGATGGTAGTGCGACTTTCGGCAACTTAGCTGCACCCAAAACGATCAATGGCCGGACCATCGAACGCCTATATATCGAAGACTGTTCTTCTCGTGGACTGGACGTAAGACACTTCTTCGCGGTGCTCGCTTTGTTCTCAGAAGTTCAAGTACTCTGTGTCGACGGCGGTCCTTGGTTGTTCTACGCACCGTGCAAGACGACGCGTCTCCCGATCGTTCGTGGTCTCGTACTTGGTGCTCTCGAAGAATCCGATTGCGCGATCGCGTTATACGACTATCTCCGTAGCTCTGGTTCCCTCGACGGCCCGCTCAAGTCCATAAGGTTCACTGGCTTCACGCGCGAGGATGTGGAGGCCTTCTTCCACTTTGCGAAAGACGCAGGGCCGTACCTCATCGACCTCGAGCTGGACATCTTCTACGCCATCAATGACTCTCCCGGTTAGTCCCCTGGGTTGTCGTCCTCCGTTGTGTCCGCTAATCATCCTCGGAACAGGCCTCCCGGAAAGCTGGGAGTCACTGGCGCTCGATTTCTGTTCACGCCTCGAGACGTTGACGTTCTCGTTCGACTTCGAGGACGACGAGCAACCGGCCTGGGTCTGCCTCGAAGTCGTGCGCAACAGCCTTCGGCTCTACACGCACCTCCTCTCCTCCCGCAGTGTGCAGCGCACGCTCCGGATCGTCACGTTCCAAGTCTTCCGCGCGTCGGCGGGCCCATGCCACTTCCGGCGCAGTGCCGAGTCGTCGAGCGTCCCGCTGTGGGCAGAGCTCGACAACGTGCTCGCGGACCTCCCGGAGCTCTCTTACGTCAAGTTCATACTGGGCGACGTCGATGGGCGCGGCACCGAGGTACAAGAGACGAAGGCGGGTATGGAGGCGTTTCTGCAGCAGTATATGCCGAGGATGTGTGGCAGCGGGCGGGTGCGGATGAGTCTGGAGGAGAGTGGGAGATGTTCCAGTACTAGGCAGATGTTGGATTGTCACAGTCTAATTGACCTCCTGGTTTGAGGTACAATGCGTAAAAGTGACGCTTCTGAGTTCGGGATAGTATGTGTTCCTTCAGTCGTTTCGGACCTACCCCACTTTTGATATCTCGCACTCCACCGGAAATCAACGGCGGGATACGAGACCAGTAGCTATGGAGGGATGGCTACGTACATATACGTTTGGATGCCTACGGAGTTAACCTCCGAGTCAACGAAGCGGTACGCACCCAAGGATTCCCCCCACTGGCTCCCCGCAAGACGCGTTCACCCCGTTGCGCAACGGTGGGAAGTAGTTACGACACATGCTACCACCGAGCAGGTCGACCGATGCGATCGATGCGTCCTCGGTGGGAATACGCTTCTGACTGGCGCGTGTGTCCTTGGGTTTCCACCAGGCTCTCTTCCCGACTTGCATCGTCCTCTGCATCTCACAAACCCTGAGTTTCATCGCGACCCCGGACTATCGAATCATACCACACAAAACCTTGGTGAGTGATGTCTGGTCATTGATCTACGAACGCCGGACTGATGGTCCCATACAGGCCGTCATGTCGGAGATATTCCCGCCAGAGCTAACAGATCGCATCATAGGGTGCGTCGACATAACGGACAAGGAGACCCTCTGCAACTGTGCCCTGGTCTGCCACAATTGGCTCCCAGCAAGCAGGCACGCTCTATTCCGGCGTGTTGACATCCCGGACGGGACCACTCTCGAGCTGCTAACTAGCCGAGTACTCCTCTCCGATAGTGCACGACCATATCTCGCCCGGGTGCGAGAGCTCCACGTCGGCCGATGTGTACACCATCCCTTTGCAGAGTTTCTTGAAAGGCAGCGGAAAAAAATCTACACTTGACTTACTTTTCTACCATCTCTCCGGCCACATGTCTGGAGTAGAGCACATGTCGCTGGGAGAACTCAGCTGGGGGTCCCACCGTACACGACCTCGCCCTTACGAGCCACTTTTGCTATCACGGTTCTCATCCTTGAAATCCCTCCGACTCGATTATTGCATCTTCCCCTCCTTCCACTTTTTCCGGCGTGCCCTGGTCGCACTGCCTGTTTTGGAGGACTTGACCTTTTTCTACGTCAGCTGGCACAAACCGTTTCAACCTCCCTCTCCTTTCGTCTTCACACATGTTCCGACTAGACCAGAGCTAAAGACGCTGCGCGTTTTCCCTATCCCGGGCTCGTTTGGTGACCCTCGGCCAAATCGCCGTCCCGTAAGGTGGCTCCTCCATTGGCTTACTACGCACACTCGCTCGCAAAAGTCCATCCGCGAGTTAGAAATTTCCGATCGTAACCTCAGGGACATGAGAACCGGTAATCTTCAGGACGAATACTCAAGGTTCCTGGAGGTCGTAGCCCCACATTTGCAAATCTTGAGAATGCCAGGCCCACTAGCGCGTACGTGTCCTGTTCTGCTCGTCTAAGATGAGTGTCTGCAGCTTGCTTACAGGCTGGATCTCACTTTCAGAGAACCTTCCTCTCGCGCGGATGACCCAGTTGAAGGAGCTGCACATCGAGATGTCCCTCTATGCGCAAGGCAGTTTGGGTCCGCTGTGTGATCGACTGCGGCAGATTCAATCGTCCATCGTGCACCTTTCCCTCGGGAAACTAGTGGCAAGTTTGCTGCCGGATGACGAGGGCTTTGCAGAACTCGATACAGTGTTGATGAATTTCGAAGATCTCCAAGAGGTCACGATCCGCGTATCGTCAGCTACCCGGTCGGCCGAAGATGCAGAGAGGGTAGTTGCCAAAATTCAAGCCCGCCTTCCTGGTATCTATGCACGAAAAGGCGTTCTGAACCTGGAGGTGATTACGAAGTATTAACGACGCGTTTTTGGGTACGTACATCTGTACTTGCAATTCCCTTCAACGCCCCTGATGAGCTCACGTAGCGAGGGAAGAATTCTCAGATCAGATTCAACTATGTACACGAGTGCTCCGTTGTCATCATCCATCCCACCCACCACTCATGCCTCAGCCACCCACAACTTGACGAGAAGAGTTGGAGCGTCCGCAGGAGAGCTGGAATGAGCGGAAAGACAAAGGAGGGATGGGGACGAGACTACCCATAGCATATATGTGATACAAAACGATGGTACATTAGACTGATAGTCAAGTCGAGCGTGCAACACGCGCCTGTAACGTAGAGACCACTCCACGAGCTCGTAAGGACCCAGCGTTCAACCAGCACAAGCCCGCGAAACGCTCCCGCTTCATCGTAACACGCTGCCGACGCCGTCCTCTCCGTCGTTGAGCTCTGAGTCCCAGAGCGACGCCCGTCTTCCACTTGAGTTCATCGCAACGACGGCGGCAGATTACGACGTTCAGCGGCTTGCTCCGCGTACACGGAGGCCTGGGCTCCAGACACAGCTGATTCGAGCGCGCCGGGGCTTGTGCCGCTGCGCGTGCAGGAAGTCGTCGAGGGCCGCGTCGAAGCGGGCGGCGGCGGAGGACGAGGTGGACGCAAGCGACAGCTGGCGGAGGCGATCGACGAGCACGCTGTTCGTTCCCGGTGCCCAGTGGATGGCGGAGACAGACGCAGCGGCCCCGGGAGAGGGGCGGAGGACGAGGGTGTCTGTGTCCGTGCCCGTGACGAAGGTGCTTGGGATGTCCGGGAGCTCGTGTCGAGGCTTGAGACGTTCCGCCCGGAGGAAGTCGCGGAAGGCAGCGTGCAGGGACGAGGGGGACTTTGGTATGGATGGCTGAGTGCGTCGGATCGAGAGGCGGGTCCCGCTGAGCGGGGCTTGCGAGCAGGAACAGATCGTGAGGACCATAGAACCATACAGCGCGAGCGACGCATATACGAGGATGATGAGACAGCAAACATGGTTGTGGACGCTGAAGACATACCTCCCGCTGCGTCATCACCATCACCAGCCCTCGGTCGTGCCGACAGTCCCAGATCCTCCGCCGTGACGCGCCTGCATGCCCGAATGGATGCCGATAGCTCGACACTCATGCGCGAGATGTAGACGGCATGGAGCAGAACCCAGGAGAACTCGTCCGAGCTACAGAATAGCATAGACGTCGCAAGCACCGACCGGTACAGAGGACGTCCGGGCGACGCCGCGTGGACGAGCTCGAGAGCGAGACGATTGACTGCTTGGCGCGACGGTAGTCTTGAGCATGTTCTCCAAGTCCTCCAGATACTTGCGCACCAGGCATGAGAGGGTAGTTTGAGCGTGCCTGGAAGAGAGAGAGGCGTAATGCTTGAGATCGTATGCTTGTCGACGCCTCCGAGTCTGAGGAGTCGACCAAGACCGAGCAAACAGGACAAGGACCCGCAAATCTTGCAGTTCTGTCGGAGGGGATATACTACGACTATTGTCGCGATGATCAGGACGGCGATAGAGGTGAAGAGAACTGAGTGCAAGTCGTGGTGGTAGGAGGGCATGGTCGCGTTGAAAAACTCGGCCAAGACCGCCACAGGAGACGTCCAAGTGGTCGAGAACAACGTAAAGACAGCCATCATGCGCGAAAGCCGCCACGCGCAGCGTAGGGGACTTCAGCTTCAGACCGGGGCAGGACGAACTTGAATGTGTCGAACCTCTGAGGTAGCGAGCCTAACTGGTAGCCATGTGAGGACAGGAGTGTTTGAACGTACATATATGCACGTTGACGTAGCTCACTAACGGCCTGGTGGTCTAGTAGTATGATTCCTTCTTAGGGCGATTATCGGTATTCAATCCGGTGATAACGTAATTTGGAGGAGGTCCCGGGTTCAATTCCCGGCCAGGCCCTTGTTTTCACTTTTTGGTGCCTTTTCGGCGTGAGCACGAAGAAGGTAGCCGTGTTCCCAATGACTACCTGTCGTTCATGTAACCTTACCCGGGACCGGCTCTCCTGTAACATTATGCTCAACTATCATCTGCCATCGCTCACGCTTGTCCTGGTGCGCCTACAAGGCACGTAACGCATGCCCTGGATTGGGAACAATCCCACAATGGAGCCCGCTCACACAGCGTGGCCCTGCTATACGTACTCAAAGTACTGGTACAGGAGTACCTGCACTCTTTCAGACCGTCATCCACTTGATCCCCTACCGGGTTCCTCCAGGAGTGCCCTCTGCTTCCCTGGGCTCCATGAACTGGCTACTGTTCGAAGATGGATGACATACTGTAGAGTTTCGACCGATGCGGCGCGTCACAGGTCACAGGGACCTCCGCCGCACCGCATCGTGCTGTAGGTCACAGGTCACGGCCCCTTTGGGGCCCCCATTTTCGCGTTTTGGCTCGGTTTTTGGGCGTTTAGCAGGCCAAATCAGGCAAATTTTGGGCGCCTCCGCTCCGCTCCGGCGACTGCGGGCGGTTACAGGTCACACCCCGCTGGGGCCTGCACCGCATCGGTCGAAACTCTACAGTACTCGAGGACGTCCGCTCTATGTACGTTCATTCCCTGTGTCAAGGTCTGTGCTGTAACTCACCAATGGGTTAGTACGTTTGCAACACTGTTATATGACGCGGCGACCGGTGAGTCCTCAAGTTCGAAAGCTCTAGTAACCGATATTGATTGAGAGACCAACTCGTTCAACTGCAGCTCTCTTCTGCTACGACTACTGCCTGACCTTCGCACAAGAGGTCCGGCACATATGGCTACTCCGTCTCTCCGTCCCGTCGCTGCTCTTTTTCGCCGTCCGCTATCCCGCCCTCGTCAACACCGTATTCATCATTTTGGACCAGACGTGCTGGAAGGGCATGACTGACACAGTACGTGAAGCATACCTATCGAGTCCTTCCCCGTGTTAGACTAACATGCTTCGAGCGCAGAGGTGCGTATACATACTTGTAGCCTGGCATGGAAACCCCAATGACTCGTCTGCAGCTGTACGATCATGGTTCGCACACAGATGGCACTCAACCTCATCCTGCTGACTTCAGCCGCAGGTGAGCTTGCTTTATCTTCACGTCCGCATAGCCTGTAAGACTCACAATCTGTTGGCAGTTTTCTCCGCACTCCGTGCGTACGCATTATGTGGACGAAATCCCTGGACTCTCGCTCTTGTGCTGCTACTGGGGCTCGTAAATCCCGCAATCTCGCTGGTAAGCCACTGCGCTCAACGATCCCCCTCGACGCTAACAGGATCTTAATACCACCTACAGGTCACGTTTATCCATTCTGGTACGGCTTTATTCTCGTATCCTGTCAGGATATGCGGCTTCTACTCGGTCGTGTCCGCTACAACATTTGAGAAGTGCGTCCGATGTTCTCGATTATGCTCTATCTTCCGCTGTTTAGCTGACATCCTCGGGCAGTTGTACGAGCTATCCCTTCCTACCTACACGCGTGTGCTCTTGTCGACCTTGTCCTTTTGCTAGGGATG